GTTTCCTGCTTTGCTGGGCTATTTTTTGGTGCTGATAGCCTCTTCTCAAATGTTTTAGCACTGCTGCAGGAGACTATTCTCATATGGCCTGATCCAGCCCCCATCAAAGTCAATCGGGATCTTTCCATTAACTCTAATGGCATTGGGGTAAGTGCACAGTAACCCTTATTTCTAACTGCCCTGGAAGTATATTTTTATAGGATATCATTGTATCCAGTTAAGTGAAATTCCCTTATCAAGAATTTCAGAGGCTTGCAGGGAAGGAAGCCCAGGAAATCTTGTCCTATAATTGTCAGTTTACTGTTCCATCAAGTGACATTTCTGTTCATTCAATTTCTGGCTTTCCACCATAGTGAAGATTCAGTTAACCAGTGCTTCTCGGCCACCAGCTGACAGTGCCTTTGTAGCATAACATGCATCATTGAGGTTACAAGCAAATGGCTTCTTGACAAACCAAAATATAAATTATTTTATTAGGACTAAACCCAAAATCAAGTTTTTTTACTCTTTGCAAAGCTTTTTCCCTGTCTCCGCCAATAGATTCAAAGGGAACTTGGAATACCTTAAGATGAGTTACCCCTAAGGCATCAGCTAAAATAACTTTCAATTTGGCTTTAAACTTTAAGCACAAAGATGTTGTACTGTGACAAGTAAAAGGGACCTAAACAAACCAAGCTAGGTAAGAACAATGGAACCTATGAAACCCAAGTCATACATAGGCCTCAGGCAGTGCAGTATTCACTATACACTGACTGAGATCCCTTGTACAATGATCTCCGTAAATATGATTTTGGGAATTCTCACCAGCAAAGAATGCCTCATTCCTCACCCACTAGGGGCACTTTCAGGTATAAGACACCTGGACTTGGAATTCTCTTTCAGTATGAAATTCTGTCAACTTTTCGCATCTACCACCCTCTTAAAGCTGTATTTAGAAAGGACTATGGTGTCACAAAGGGTTCTGGCTAGGGCTGTCAAGCGATTAAAAAAATTAATTGTGCTGTTAAACAACAATAGAATACCATTTATTTTAAATATTTTTGGATGTTTACTACATTTTCAAATATATTAATTTAAATTACAACACAGAATACAAAATGTACAGTGCTCACTTTATATTTATTTTTATTACAAATATTTGCACTGTAAAAAAACAAAAATATTGGATTTTTCAATTCACCTCATACAAGTACTGTAGTGCAATGTCTTTACCATGAAAGTTGAACTTACAAATGTAGAATTAAGTCAAAAAAAAAGTGCACTCAAAACAGTGTGAAACTTTAGAGCCTACAAGTCCACTCAGTCCTACTTCTTGGTCAGCCAATCACTCAGACAAACAAGGTTGGTTACAATTTGCAGGAGATAATGCTGCCTGCTTCTTATTTACAATGTCACCTGAAAGTGAGAACAGGTGTTTGCATGGCACTCTTGTAGCTGGTGTTGCAAGATATTTACGTGCCAGATGCACTAAAGATTCATATATCCCTTCATGCTTCAACCACCATTCCAAAGGACATGCTTCCATGCTGATGATGGGTTCTGCTTGATAATGATCCAAAGCAGTGCGGACCGACGGATGTTCATTTTCACCATCTGAGTCAGATGCCACCAGCAGAAGGTTCATTTTCTTTTCTGGTCGTTTGGGTTCTATAGTTTCCGCATCAGTGTGTTGCTCTTTTAAGACTTTTAAAAGCATGCTTCACACCTCGTCCCTCTCAGATTTTGGATGGCACTTCAGATTCTTAAACCTTGGGTGGAGTGCTGTAGCTATTTTTAGAACCTTCTTTGCATTTTGTCAAATCTGCTGTGAAAGTGTTCTTAAAATGAGCATGTGCTGGGTCATCATCCGAGACTGCTATAACATGAAATATATGCAGAATGTGGGTAAAACAGAGCAGGGGACATACAATTCTCCCCCCAAGGAGTACAGTCACAAATTTAATTGATGATTTTTTTATTTAACAAGCATCATCAGCATGGAAGCATGTCCTCTGGAATGGTGGCCGAAGCATGAAGGGGCATATGAATGTTTAGCATATCTGGCATGTAAATACCTTGCAACACCAGCTACAAAAGTGCCATGCAAACACCTGTTCTCCCTTTCAGGTGACATTGTAAATAAGAAGCAGACAGCAGTATCTCCCATCAATGTAAACAATCTTGTTTGTCTTAGTGATTGGCAGAATAAGAAGTAGGCCTGAGTCGACTTGTAGGTGCTAAAGTTTTACACTGTTTTATTTTTGAGTGCAGTTATGTAACCAAAAAAAATCTGCATGTTAAAGAGATTGCACTTCAGTACTTGTATGAGGTGAACTGAAAAATACTATTTCCTTTGTTTATCATTTTTACAGTGTACATATTTGTAATCAAAAATAATAATATAAAGTGAGCACTGTGCACTTTGTATTCTGTGTTGTAATTGAAATCAATATGGAAAATGTAGAACATCCAAAAATATTTAATAAATTTCAATTGGTATTCTATTGTTATAAGTGCGATTAATCACGATTAGATTAATTTTTTTGAGTTAATCATGTGAGTTAACTGCGATTAATTGACAGCCCTAGTTCGGGATTAACACTATTCATGGCTTTCCATCCTGGACTGGGGATTACTGGAGACAATTCAATCTCATTTGTATAGTTGTCTTAAGGGAAAAACCCCTCAGCGGGAAACCATACCATGCTCTGTGAGGAATGAGCCTGCCCTGGAGTGTATAAGCAGGTGGACACTGGTTTGACTCCGAATTTACCTCTGGGTAAAGGCCATCACTATAATGAGAGGAAGGAATGCTTTACAATTAAAAGTGTAAATATAAATGTTTAATCAGAAATACAGCACTTTCAAACCACTGAGAGAGCAGAGCTGGGATGGTTCAGAGCACTTTAGAGTCAGGTGTTTAATGCTTGTCTCTATGTTAGAAAAGCAGAAGCTCAGCGTGTGCTAGTCACTGAAACTGGGTGAAGGAACGAGAATGCCCTGTTCCTGCATGTTAATGGTGGCCTATTCCTTTTAATGTAAGGTAAATGTAGACCTAGCTAGAAGTGAGCAATTACATGTGCCAGAGTCTTGTTGACTTCAGGGGAACTTAACTGGTGAGTAAGGAGAGCAGGATCTGGCCCTTACGGTATATGTGACGCAGGGGTGCTGAGAGCCATTTAACCAAACTGTATATAATGGAAACCGCTTCAAGACAGCCGCACCCCCAGCACCTTAGTTCTAGCACCTATGATGGGACATGTTGGGATGACTTCCTCTGGCATTTATGGAAATTGTTGCCTACTCTCACAAATAAGAATATTCTTTTCTGATAAATCAACTAGTTCATGACTCTCTGACTTCCTTGATGACCTTTCTCTCCCCCTTTCCCCTCCCCCTATACACAAACAGTTCATTGTAAAGATCATAGAATAACAGGCCATTTCAGAAATGCAATAGACATTTTACAGCATGTTCTTCATGGGTCCAGCAGCCGTGTTTGAGTAAAAAAAGAAAATATAGAGTATAAGGAATTGAACTATCACCTAAGAGGCCAGCACAGAATGGCATTTCAGATCTTTCCTACCAGACACCTACATTTGAGACCTCCTACAATGGGGAAGTTCTGTATAGTGCAAGGATCTGAGCCCCCTATAAACTACAGTGTTTCCAATTATTGAATTAACAATTATAACACAGTTATCCAGTAGAGATGAATTTTCCCTTGTTATATTAATATGTTAATACTAAGATAACAAAGGTCACTGCTCCAATCTCAGTTCTTCACGCACTGCAATAGTTTGATCACTCAAACCAGCGTCCCCTGCAATTCACTTTCTCATTCCCTTGTTTTATATTTTGTTAAACTCTAAAAAATAAATTAAGCCAAAAAAACTGCAGTGCTGTATTTGTTTTTTGTTTTTATTATCAACAATCAGTTAATGGTACACTCTTGGAAAACTATATGAACATGTAGAAATATTTCCCCTTTTAAATAGCATTCATTTGAACCACATATAAATAAATCTGAAAACCCTGAACATAATTTATGACGATTATGCTCACAAACATATTCCAACAGGAAGGGAAAAATAAAAGACGACATGCAACTGATAATAAAAATATATACCATTATCTGAACCCGGTCTCTCGAAACGCAAAGTAACTGAACCCGTGAGAACCTTCTTTCTCCATAAAGACACGCCATAGAGACTACGAGGAGGGAAAACATTATTTATACGGTCATCTAGAGTAGACAAGTTTGTACTGATATTAATACTATACAATTGAGTCACAGAACACAGCTGTAGAAAGACACAGAAAAGGTTAAAGCATACGTGTCCACATTCAACTAATAGCTATATTTTTGTGCCTTTTAAAAGAAATTAAAATAAAAAACCTCTAAACGGAGATGCCTAAAAACTGCGTGAGCCATGTAATCAGAATACTTAATAATAAATACAATCCATCCACCCGGCCAGGAGGCGAGTCCTAGGGGGCCAGAGAGCCAGGGACCTGCTCCCGGCCCAGGACTGGGAGCTGCGGGACGTTTGCAGCAGCTGCGGTGGGATCAAAGAGAACGTGGGCGTTAAAAACCAAACGGGGCGAGTGGAAGCCGCCGGAGGACGAGCGCGAGCGAGCAAGAGGACTAGGAAGCCCGCGCGCCGGGCCAGGACTTGGCAGCCGGAACTGAGCGCGAGGAGGCGTTGCAGAACCTCGCTGGCGGGCCGCGGTCCCGGTGCAGCCCGGCGGGCTGGAGCGTCCCAGCCAGGGGGCGGCAAGCGGGCGCCTCGCAGGCCCTGCCCGCTGAGGCTCCGGGTCCTGGCGCTGCTGCAGCCTGGCGGAGCCTCCCCCGGGCCAGTGTCGCCGGCAGAGCCCGGGGCCAGGGGAAGACGCAGGGGCGCCTCGGCTCACGTCAGCGAGTCAGTGGCCCCTGGCCCGCCGTGCCGCGCGGGGATCGTGCTCAGTCCTAGCGGCAGGCGGGAGCCCCGGCCCGGGCTCTCCAGTCCCCCCGCCGCCGCTCAGAACATGCCGCTCTTTACTAGGCTG